GATTGTTTGTTTGTTTTAATTTCGAGCAAAGCTACACGAATGCTATCTGCGCTAGCCGTCCCTAATTTAGCAGTGTAAGATTAGAGAGAAGGCAGCTAGTCATCACCACCCACCGCCAACTCTTGGGCTACTCTTTTACCAACGTGGGATTGACCGTAAGATTATAACGCCCCCACGAGCATGTTTGACGGGATTCGAACCTGTGACCTTCACATTGCGAGTCGAGCACACTAACCACTTGGCCATGCTGGGCCATAACATCGTCGGAGACTCATTTCATATTTATATTTTTTCAGATGAAATTAGCATAAAAAATAATAACTAGATATTACAAGGGGTTATTGGAAATAGTTGTTTCCACTTATCTCTCATTTTATATAATCGAGAAGTGTATTAAAAACTTGGAAACATCATATTTAAAATTGTGTATAAGACAGTTATTTGAAATGTTTATAGATGATCCCTGAAACGTGAAGGTGAAACATATAACACTTTAGAAATTTGGATTTTTTTATAGTTTTTGAGCTTCAACTCAGATCTTAATATTTACTTGCACGCCCAATTGTAAAAGCTATAACGTAATTGTTTATGAAAGAGAGTTTTAGACGTGACTCGTGTCCTAAATATAGATTTGTTTCAAATTTTCTTTAGCTAATCAACAAGCATTTACTTGGTGTTTTATGTAGCTAGTTGCATTTTCCAAATCATGCTAGAAAAAGGCTATATCTTTTTAAATAAAATAAAATATTGTTCAATTATTATACTTACATGTTGGTTTTGTGTGAGTATTCACAAATCGAATTTATGTCAACAGAATTTGTTACGTGCGTGAATGTATAGGTAGATTAACATATCCACAGGTCATGATTTGTGATTGGCTATACCGTACGAACTTCTTCCAGCAAAAGGATGATAAGCAACGCTTTATTATATAAGTAATACCAAATTACTAATCACTGCCTTTTTCTAAAGCTGATATTCATTTGTCATCAACAGTAACAAGTTTATTGCGTGCCTTCTAAAGTAACAGAAAAGTCAGGTACATTCTTCAACACAATTACAGTTAAATGCTCTCCACCAGGAGTTATGGCGTTACTGTTGGAACTACTTCACCAAGTTCCAGTTATTGTTTAATTGTTTGGAATCAAATTGTTGCACATACTCATTATAAAATAAAAGTCAATTTAAAGCTTGCTCAGATGTTTTCATAATTTTATGATAAAAATCAAAATAGCTTCACTTTATTTGACTTAATTGTGTTTTTATAAGGTGTGCGTATGTTATACAGAGAGTCATAAGTGTGCGCTTAAAACGTACACAATCTTTCAAAACGATATTGAATCTGAATACCTGTCGTCAAATTCCTAATTATTATTTTTGTTTTGTTCTTGTATCACAATTTTGATATATCTGACCCATGAAACATACAGCCATATTCTGTCTACGTATGTGTTTCTGCCTACAGTGAGTAAAATTGAGTCAGAAACTGCCATTAGAAATGAAGAACTCGAAGTAAAGTACCGTTTATTGACAGCAATGACTTAATGTCTTTAGGCTGTCTTAAGGATACTTAAGTATGTGTGAGTTCTCTTGAGGATATTTCTATATATCACGTTCATAGGCTGTCTTCAGGATACTTCTATATATCACGTTCATAGGCTGTCTTCAGGATACTCCTATATATCACGTTTATAGACTGTATTCAGGATACTTCTATATATCACGTTTATAGGCTCTCTTCAGGATACTTCTATATATAACGTTTATAGGCTCTCTTCAGGATACTTCTATATATAACGTTTATAGGCTCTCTTCAGGATACTTCTGTTTGAAGTATTCGATAATATGACAGTAACGGAATTAATTTTGATACAGCGCATACATGAAATATTTTATTTACAAAGTTGAATATCGCGTTAACATTACTATAATTGCTACAGCTGTTATCAATTCTTCAGCGAAAAAATAAATAAAAAATGCATTATTTGTAAAATTTGGTAAAATATGCTTATTTTACACGGAATGCAGCATAAATTATTTTTATTTTACTTTTATATGTTATATATATATATATATACATACAATAATACGTTGTTTATAACCACTATCTCATAACTTCGAGACATCCATAGGAACAACAGTAAGATTCATCTCTGTAACGCTGTCTTTGTAAGTTACTTGAGGAAAGTCTAAATAGCAGATATATGCAAATAAGATATATACAAGTTAGTATAACGTTTTAATCATTTCCATATATTAGTTTTTTCTTGCAACACTTGTAAAACATGGAATGTGCATATAGTTTATGAAATCGTCATGCAATGGATGAATCCGAGAGTGTTAGTACTTACAAATAGGTTTTTTGACCGTATATATTGTATTGGCGACATAGGTCAATCTTGTCCGAAGATGTTTAAAAGTTGTGTGACCTGTGGCGCCGTCTTTTGACAAAACTCATATTTATCATTATGTTTTTAAATGGTATATGTATATAAGTATATATACTGTACAAAGCTGAACTAGGCAGAAGATTGAAGGATTCAGCCTCCATAAGGCCGTTTTTAATGTCCTCGGGTATAAAATCAGAATTATTTACAGCAGTGCGATTTTTAGGTACTCAATTCTTCCAGTTTGATATCCTTTGTTTGTTTGTTTGTTTTATTTTATAAAGTCAACTCACATACTGATGTACATTTTTTAACTTCTTTCTAATCGAAGCTAGAATATATATTATTAGCTTCTTTTGACATCAGTTTATAGGTTTCTAACTCAAACTATTGCCTAGTTTTCCTCATTATTAATTTGTAATATACCAAAATGAATGTAAGGCTTCTAGCACATCAGTTTGAATTAGAAATAATTGAGGCATTCTGCTTTAATTGTTATAGAAGTAACATTGTTTGTTTTATCTTTTAAAGAAAACTTAATGCCATTTCAAATTATTAAATGTAAACATTGCCAGAATTATGTCTTTTACGGGTGTAATAAATTTGGCTTTAGTTTATCTTCCACTTCTACACAAATATGATATTTGGAAGCTTTTAAGTAGTCGATGTTTTAGTTCTCATTAACTTTAAACAGTTTATCATCTGGTTCAGCTCGTACTATAGCCAAAAAAAAAAGATATATTTCGATATCACTGTACTTGAATGTCCCTCAATATGTTTAGTAGCGCTTCTTCTCCCATTTATGTTTTCATATTTATTGTCAGTGAAAAACATGGTGCCCATTATAACATTAAAATTGAGTTAATGACTATATTATAATTAGTACAATTCATAACATGAAAAATATATGATCATGTTGAATAATAAGTCAAATATCGTAATATATCGCTTTTCATGTGATCTTTATACTTAGGAGTTCCCCAGTTGCTCAGCGGCAAGTCTTAAGGCTTATAACGCTAAAAACCGGGGCCTTGATTCCCGTGATGGGCACAGCACACATAGCCCATTATGTAGTTTTGTGCTTAACAACAAACAAACTATATGTAAGAATTTTAGAAACATAAGTGTAATTAACTGCATATCATTTTCGTTTGTTGTTCGTGTTCAGTTCACTCCTCTCATCGAACTTTTTTCTTTAAAAACATATCATCATTGAGATACACCTACATTTTAAAATTAAATCTTCGAAATAATAAAGAACAGCTGTCTAGAACCATTCTTGTTTTTAAAGGCCAGTATGCGAAGCAATAAGGGATAACAGTTTACCATTGTTGTTTATAAATGCCAACAAGTGAAATAACGAAGGATAAATGTTTTTTACCATTGTTGTATTTTTAAAGGCCAACACGCGAAATAATATAATATAACTGTCTGTTACCATTGTTGTCTTTTAAAGGCCAACAGGGAGGCGACATGGTTGTTCGTTTTAATCATGACGGAGATGCTCCAGGAAGTTACCACATCTACCAGTTTCAAAAACATGCCAAGGGAAAGTACGACTATAAAATTGTAGGACAGTGGACTGAAGGAAGGTAAACTACTGCTGATCTCGAAAAAAATTGTAAAAGGAATCTAAGGATATCACACGCACTCACATAGCTACATATGATAAATATATTCATGTATCCATTTACGAAAGTAAGTTGGGTAATCTGTGGATATTCATTGGTCAAAGCCTTTCTGTCTGTAAAACTTGTAGTTTGGTATTAAAAAGTACAGTAGAGGTGCAAGTAGCAAAGTCAAACGCCTCCTGTTGCCACCTTAAGGAAACTTGTTAATTAGTATATGCATTTTTTGTGCAAGTAGCAAAGTCAAACGCCTTCTGCTGCCATCTTAAGGAAACTTTTTAATTACTAGATACATTTTTTGTGCTGGTAGCAAAGTCAAACGCCTCCTGTTGCCATCTTAAGGAAACTTGTTAATTAGTATATGCAATTTTTGTGCAAGTAGCAAAGTCAAACGCCTCCTGCTGCCATCTTAAGGAAACTTTTTAATTACTAGATACATTTTTGTGCTGGTAGCAAAGTCAAACGCCTCCTGTTGCCATCTTAAGGAAACTTTTAATTAGTATATGTATTTTTTGTGCTGGTAGCAAAGTCAAACGCCTCCTGTTGCCATCTTAAGGAAACTTTTTAATTACTACCCAATTATATAAAGTCTGTAATTCGCTGCTTGCTTAATATTCTATGGCAATTATAAATAAGCATGCAGCAACTGTACTTCACTCACTAAAACATTATCATAGGAATAGGGATATAAACACTAAAATGTATTAATGAAATCTGTACATCTAATATGTTTGATCGAGTCACCAAAATTTCACATTTTGTTCATAAATTTATTCATTATATATATATTAAAACCGTGTACCATAACTCAATATTTGGTAATACTGACTTGAAGTAATGTAGTTATAATCTATCTCTTCTCCAATTTAATAAAATATTGTGGATTGTGTATTTCTATTTCTTCATTTCACTTTTTGATTTTTATATTCACAAATAACTAGCTATCTGAAGCTACCACGCGAAAAACCAATAACTCTTTCCTTGATTGGTTACCTTGTAAATTGTTGATTTAATTTTTGCTCAAATATTGGAAATTCGTTGTCAGAGTGAATGTCATGTCTTAGCAGAATAAGAAATCATTATTCAATCTGGTATTTCGTTCTTATTTACATTTACGTGTGTGTATGCAGTGTATACCTTATATAAAATGTCCTTAGGCCAATTCATTTTAATTAATTTCTTCATTTATTGTTTGCTTTACTTTCCGTTCCTTTTTTATTTCAGCAATATTGAGAAAATAATGAATCAAAGAGCTAAAAATTGTATTCCTAATCATACCAAATCCAGGTTGATAAAACGTATAGAAACATTATTAAGTAAAACACTAAGTTACGTTAATATATAATTTTAATGGAAAGTAACAAGAACGGCAATTTTCTTATTGCTATTAAGTTCAATACATTTCATTTCGTATTTCCACATGTTTTCGTAATTTTTCAATCAGGTTTTGTTTATCATTACTTCATGTCATATCAAGTATTAACAAACAAATATTTATAAGAATATTTAACATTATATGAGTTAAGCAAATTGTAACACGCAGCTGAAAGAGTTATAGGCATTACTTCAATATCAAGCTCTTTCGGTACAGTTAAACCTGTTAGGTTTATGGCACGTGACAAAGTGATCCGATAATGCTTCTTGGACTTGATCCTTTTTTTCGAGTGTGTCAATAAGTATCTGATAAAAAGTTATAAGATTTGTTTCTGATTACAGCTCAAACTCTGTGAGTTTCAAGTTTAGATTGAGTCTGAAATAAATTATAATAGCAAAAGTGACTGCATTATATTGATTAACATTACTATATACGTAAAATGTTAAGTTATAGAGCATACAATGGTCAAAAACATTCAAAATACTAAGACAACTCTGACAACGCAACATATCTTAATGGATGTAATAATAATGTAATAAAACATCTTTGGTAATTTTTGTATTAAAGGACTACAAACTGTTTATTTATCTAGTTAATTATTTGTTCTTTGTGGTTTTTACTAAATGTATTTGGATCTAAGTGTCACTTAACTCATTGTATATTAAGTAACTTAAAAGTTAAACAAACTCCCACTTGGTCGAAATCGCTTCTTGAAGGATGTCCTGGTTAAGTTAGTGTTCAATAATACATATGCGCAAAAGTACATTATACAGTGGAAAAGTTATCATTGAAGTATAACACTTTACAGGAAGAGTCCGAATGCAAGGATTCCAACATCAAACTGTAGTGACCCTTGTCCGAAAGGTCACATCCGTCAATTTCAGCAGCGTTCATGTTGTTGGTTGTGTGTTGCCTGTCGAGAAGACGAGTATATCCATAACAATGAGTGTTCCTACTGCCTTGAAGGCTACATGCCACGTCAAGATAAAGCAGGGTGCTTTAAGCTCCCTCTCGAATTCATGACATGGGACAGCCCCTGGGCTATTATTCCGGCAGCTTTTGCTGCGTTAGGGATTGTTTGCACATTTTTTACATTTGCCGTTTTTGTGCACTTCAGCAGGACCCCAGTCATAATGGCATCTGGGCGGGAACTGTGTTACTTACTTCTTCTAGGCTTAGCTCTTAGTTATTGCATGAGCTTTGTAATCTTATCCAAACCCACTACCGCCACCTGTACACTTATGAGGGTAGGCTTAGGGCTGTGCCTCAGCCTTTGTTATTCTGCTATATTTACAAAGACAAACCGAATCTCGAGGATATTTAATCGAGGTATTCGCAGTATCAAAAGACCTAGCTATACAAGTCCACGATCTCAGGTTTTGATTTGCCTCGGTTTAGTTTCAATACAGTTAGTGTTTGCCATTGCCTGGCTTATAGTGGAACCCCCCAAGCTGCGAGAAACTTATCCCACAAGAACATCTGCTGTCCTTCAATGTGGCGTTTCCAGTATTTCAATGGGGGTATCTCTCATCTACAATAAGTTATTGATAATACTGTGTACAGTCTACGCTTTCAAGACACGTCGAATACCTGAGAATTTCAACGAAGCCAAGTACATTGGATTCACTATGTATTCAACTTGCATCGTGTGGTTGGCTTTCATACCAATCTACTTTAGCACAAATAACGACTTCAAGGTAATACTAATTGCACTAAAGTGTTCATTACCTACTTAGCTGCCAATAATATAATGATGTTTAATAAAATTTCAGTCATTTGAAACATTTTTGAAACCTTCTGAACCTGCTTAAATTTGTTTCTTTAGTTAAACTCTTAATGGTTGGAGACGGCTTGAATTTGTTAAACTATGTTCAAATGTTCTCACAACATAATCTTTATAAAATGTTGTCGAATGATTTACTTTTACCTATTGCTTTAAATGCTTATTAGTGACCTCTGCATAAAGCTAAAGGTCAGTAACTATTAGGACTTGATATCAAGTGTTCATACAAAGAAAAGAAAAATATCAACGTTTTTACTTTAATGCTTAGATACTTACAAATGAGAAATGTTTAATATTAATCTTGAAGATTAATGAAAAATAAAATAAACTTAAATTTTAAACGTCTCACAATATTTATAAAGTTTGGATCCGAACACTAACTTCATAAAACTTCATTTCATCCCATTATCTTATTTTACAATGCTTTAATGTGAGATTTTCAAGACACAATATTGCTCAAATATTCTCATTAGTTACTGTACTTTTAATTATTAATAATAGCAAAAGAACTAACAACGAATGGTATCACACCAAGAATAAGATGCATGTTCAAGGTGTCATAGTTTAAAACTAATGTTTTCAGAGAGGAATAAAAGACAAGCGATAACATAAATAAGCAACAAGCTTTCAGACGATATTATTCTATAATCTTAGAAAGTATTTTCACATCTAACTGATATAATACAAGGTGCACCAAAAATTATTAATCCAAAGGTGTAAGAAAAAGTATGAAAGCAAAGGTGCCAAAACTTTACATAATTATTAATTCTGTTGTCTCTAATTATTGAATTCTGTAGTTTTCCTGGTTATCGTATAGTTAAGAAGAAAGTCTTCATACAACCAGGAGAATTTAGGGAAGTTTTGAACATTTCTAAGACCACGAAGGATTTTTCTTCAGTCGAAAATTACGTGTCCTATTTGAGAACTTACAAGATTTCAAGAACTAGATTTATTATACAAGATTATAAAGCTTTTTTATCTGCTTTGCTATTCATTAGTTTTTACTGTACTTTAACGTAGCTAGTATTTCTTACTCTGATGCATTTTGCATTGGCAATTTTTTCACAGTTGGACAACAATGGCATGCTTTGCATAAGGACAGGTGCATATGAGTTTTATATAATCGCCTTATAGCTAGTCTTAGATATGCAGACTTGTCAAAGAACCTTGCATTTCTCCTGAAAGTTCGTCCTTTTCATGGCGAATTTCTTTCAAATCAGCTGAGAACGTTTTCTTGACAATTTCGTATACAATGTGGCACTTTTCTCTAAAATCGATTAGTGTTAGTTTTTCCAGAAGACAGGACTAGTGTTATTGTTTTCTGAAAAAGTTTCATTGATTTGTTCAAAATGACGATGCGGCAGCGTCTTCGCTTCTAAAAGCTTAACTATTCAGCAGTTGGTTTTCGCTGGGTGGAAAAAATTTACATAAAATATAAAAAAGAAGAATCTTAATCAGCATCAAAAGTTTTCGAAAACATTTTCTTTAGTCACATTGGTTCATAAGTTGCTTAAAACTTCTTTTCCTCTGCTTCTACGCAAACTGATCCGAAGAATTTTTGTTTGTCTGTGAAAATTGTGAGTAGAATAAATTTCCGTCTATAAACAATTAGAATAACCAACAAACAAAATCATTAATTGTTTCCCTAACATTTATTCGGGGTTATTATTTAATTAACTAATTTATTTTGATAATATTAGCTATGCACTAATTCTACAAAAATCCCCAGGTAAAGAGCTTTATAAGTTAATGTACTCAAACATTACTTCTTTTTGGACCTAATATTAACAGCATGATTATTGACAATTACAGTTTCTGCTTTTCAAAGTGAACTCTATAATCCGTTTTCCATTAGATGGATACAATGTTTTTCATTCAACAAGGGCATGCAAGTACGAATAATAATAATATACCTTCATTACATCAGACATTAACAAGTTTGAGGTATTTCTTAAATTGGTTATTTAAACCATGCTTTCATGATAAATATTACGGAGCTTGAGAAACTTTGTAAAAACGTTCAACGACTACCATCAGCTACCTATGCAATTGTAAGTTGGATTATTTGAAAATATGCATGATACCAAAATATTATAAAGGTGTCCATGATAACAAAATATTATAAAGATGAGGCAGAACAAACATTAAGCCCCCCCCCCCCCAGTGACACAGCGGTATGTCTGCGGCCTTACAACGCTAGTAACCGAGTTTCGATACTCGTGGTGGGCAGAGCACAGATAGCCCATTGTGTAGCTTTGTGCTTAACTTCAAACAAACAATAAAAATTATTGTTACAAGTCCTAACTTAAAACAAGTCCTATCTTGCCACGTTTCTATCTTTGTATCGAACGGTATAAAGATGATAAACAAAGCATTCATAAATGTTTGGGCATTTATGTAAAAATCATAAATATAAAATACAGTTAAAAACAATAAAATAATTAATGTTAACGATTCACTATAACTGACCGCTTAAATATAAATATTTATACCTCTTCGTTAAATTTTTTTAAATAGGATCCTTAAATTTTCTCTTTCGTTATCCATCAAAATTTATTGTTGTTGCTCTGTTTTCATTTTTACACAAAACGAAACATAACTTAAAATTTTATTTGATTTGCTCAAATTCTTATATATATATATACGTATTATTGTTTATTCTGAACTAGTAATTGCATGTATTTTTATATTTGGTCTTATAAAAAACTACTTTTATATGTTTGTGTCTTTTTACTTTCATAACTTTCCTTATCTTGCTTGAATATTTCGTTTTGCCTCCTAACCAGTTTTTGCTTTGAGGATCAAGACTTACAATATAATTTATTCCAGTTGTTTCAAGATTATATATTTTTAATTTTCATTCTTCATTTACATTTACATTATCTAAACCTTGCTTTCACTCTTTGTCTTTTAGGTTCAAATCTCTAGTCTCTGTATCTGCATCAGTATCAGCGCTACAGTAGCTCTTGGTTGTCTTTTCACACCAAAAATTTACATCTGTCTTTGTCAACCGTATAAGAACGTCAGAACAGGAGGAACTCAAGGCAGCACTTCTGGAGGTTATGGACATAGTATGCGTTTCAAGAGGTCCGGTGCAAGTGCTGCTTTAGCTTCCATAGCTACTGCAGCAGTTATAGGTACCACTAGACCAGCTACAGACTCGTCAGACTTCCGATCAACAACAAACGGGGAAGTGTCTCCTAGCCTTGAGGAGAGTAGCATGAGTTAATATACTTCAACGTCATTTTTAAGATTCGATTCTTAAAAGTCATTCAGTGATATAATAAAAAAATATCGATAATTAATTCTAGATATAACCTTCCTGCACTGTCTAACGTTATAATACTACACACCTGAGATAAAACTGCATAAATTCAATATTCATCTGCGGGGGAAAGTCCGATCAGAGATGATATTCTAGTTTGCGATTTCATGTTCAAACATCAATAGTGTCAACAAAAATCATCTTTCCTTTCTTAGGTGAAGCTAAGGCTAACCTTCAGTCAGAATTTGTTGAATGAAGGAACTGTCAAACCATAAACGTCGTTAAGTATAAAAACAACAACCATTACTTAACTTACAAACAATTTCTTAAGGTGGGGCACAACATTTTTATTTAATTCTTGAAAGAAGTGACTCAGAACAATTCTCTACTGGCTCGGGCTCATTCTTTTGTAATTGGAGAATGATTTTATTGTACAGATTGTGTTACTCAAATGATGCTTTGAAACCTCCATCATATCGCTACATCGGATATAATGTTACTTTAAAATATGTCAAGATTGTTTTTCCTCCATAAAATAACAACGCATGATAACTTTGAAGCGACTCATGACCCACACATGTCTAATCGAACACTACTTCTGATGTGCATCTCACGCGTTAGATGATGTATTGAATGCCTTAGTATATTGTTACATAGAATGTGATATTATTACAAGTCCGACAAGATTGCTTTCTTACACAAAAGATTAACTCATGAGAGTTCTGCAGTAACTCGCAACTCGTTAACGTCATGTCTCCAATAACTTCCGATGTACAGCTCCTAAGTAGCTGAAATGATTCTTAAATGCACTATCATGTCATTTATAGGATGTGAATGCCAGTTTAAAATTATTTATATCGTAAGCAATTATAGTATTAGCAGGCTTCTTTTTATGAGCCAAAAGATATGTACGTGGCGCACAAACACCAAGAATATTACGTCATAACGAACAAACAGAAACTGTGAAAAGTTGTTGCACAAACAGTTGACAAGAAAAAAAAACGTCATCAGTACAACTAGTTTTCATACAAATGTTTTAGTCAATGATTCAGGTGATAACTCGTAAAGAATATTTTCACATTTCAAACGAGATGGTGTCACCTGAAAGTAATTTTTGTTTGCAGGATTCCAAATGTTTGTCTCAGCGAGTGACTTATGGTAATTCTGAGTCAGTCTCTTCGTGACATTTAACCAACGTGCACCTGAACTGAGGAATCCGTGCCTCTTAAATAAATAAAAAAGGTGTACTGAGAGTAATACAAGTTGAATAACATGACTTCATATGATTACAACCTCTTGACTGGTTCGACTTTTAGTGTCAAAAAGTCAGTGCGATGATCTGAATGGAAATAGTTTGATAAAATTCAAGCGTCTTCTTTCAAACCAACAAACGCCATTCACAGAAATATTGGGGCTCATATTTCTGTGAATGGTTTTTGAGGGATGTAATTGGAAATTTGTGTGTGTATATATTATCTATATAAGTGTTAATTGTCTTATTATTGTGGTAATATTAAGTAACATTCTATTAGAAATATGTATGTAAGCTCACGTTAGATTTCTTTATTTGAAGATAACATTTTGAATTACGTTTCTAGAGTTCGATTTTTTACAGCGTTCTTTTCTGATTGTTATACGAAAATGTTAAACTTTTAGTTTGTGAAAACTGACATTTTTTATTATTTGTTATAGTTTACTTTCGTGTCATACAACTTTACGTCTCCATTTTCTGCTGATTTAAAAATATGAAGTTACTGTCTCTGACATTTCACGGAATGTGATTTTTGCGTAATATAAAAAAAGACTTAACGGTAATTTTTCTATTATCTACAAAATTTATGAAAAATTTAAAAGTGTTTTTATATTTCAGTGCAACTAAATCGATATAAATTCAATTTTCCAAACGTCTACAAAAGAAGCTTTGAACATTTCTTTCATCGATTATTCAAACAAATTTGAATATATTTATAACGGTTTATGTTTACGAATAGTTGCCGTAAGTCTTAATTTTGTTTATTTATTTTTCGAAATTTCTGTTCGTTTTAACTTGTGCATTTTGAAAGTGGGATTACATGTTACAGTTTTGTTTTCAAAGATCTTTGAGATTTTTGTTCGTCTAGAATAACTCTTTCGTTCTCATTCTTTACATTCGCGGCCTTTTTCTTATAACACATTTTACAAAAGTGGTTAAATTTCGAAACTTCTGAATCCAGATTTGCCATGTTTGTTAGATTAAGTATATGATCATTTCTACACAGTGTTACTAATTATGTTTTCTTTTTCATTTTATGAAATATGTCATTTACGTGGACATACAATCTTTGACTTTACCAGCTTTTTAATCCCATGTCATAATTAAATGATTCTTACGGTTTTAAATTTTAATATGTATTTCGCTACAACTCAATCAGACCACATCTTTACATGTCCTCTTTCTTTAAGCAATACATTCGGGTTATCTTGCCTTCTAACAAGCCGTACAACATGAGTTATTGCATTTCTGTGTCGAATACAACAAATACTGCAAAGAGACAATACGTATTAATTGGTAGCTAAAAATAATTGAAAATGTTTTTTGTAGTTGTAATACTTTTCTTCGAGACTTCACTCGCTTAATATCTGTACATTGCTGGGAATTTTTCAACAAGCGTTCATTATTTTGTTGCCCTGATAACTCAGCAGTAAATTGGATGGCTTATAACACTATAAATCGGGATTCAATACATAGAATAGAGAGGAACCATTATGTAGCTTTGTGCTTAAAAACATCGTTACCTTATTTTAACTCGTTATACTAAATGTAATAGGTGTCCCAGAAAGTTTATCAGGCTTTCTCTACTTGAGGCAAATATAATATGTTTTAACTTGTGTTTAACCTTGTACTAATTTTTTAAGAAAATCTTTGGAGCCAGCTCTTCATAGGTTTGCATCAGGCTATGATGGATTTTTAAACAGTTCTTTAGAATTGAACTGGCTGTTCTTATAAAGATTTATAACTTATATTTCACCAGTTTGTTTCATGGAATGATGTGATTTCACGTTGTTCTTTAACTTTAGGTTTGATGTTCAAAGAAAGTCGTTTCATTCCCTTCCCTGCTTCAAGCCGTAATGTAGTCTGTAGGTAATAGTTTATCCTAGTACTAGATGTTACAACAAAGTCCAATCTCGTAGCTTCTTTCTCCGTAGAGGCTACTCAAAACTATACTATATTCCCTAACAGTTGTTTAGAATTGTTCTGGTTTCCTCCTTCCTGGCATGCTTCAGGCATTGATATTGTTCCAAATAGCTGTTCAAATTACGGTGAATATTCCAGGATAGTCATGTGCGAAGCAACGACTTAGCCTGAAACAGTACTATTATTCTAGATGTGGCAATGAAAGGTAATTGTTTAATCTTGGTCTGGATGCTCTAGAAAATATTTTTGCCTCGTTCTTCCAGTGGAATCACCTTAATACCCTTTTGTTTTTATAGTGTATTTTGAAACATGCTGATCCTAAAAACTTTGCTAAAGTTTATATTAAGAAAATTCGAGGAATGATTAAAATCACTCTAAGAAAAAAAGAACCAAGTGCTTAGCATTTGAGTTGGAAGACATTCATTCTGAGCTTAAAAAAGACGTTACAGATGTATATTTGTTAACTATTCATATTACTTTACAAATTCTAATTGGTGATGGATGCTATACTCACTTTTTGGCTTAAAATTAATTGAATTTTGCAATCATAGCATACTATTACCCAGCTTATGTTTAGAATAAAGAATTTTTAAATTAAATACTATGTGTGACATACTGGAGTTCAATTATTATTTTGCTAGCAATGGTATGTGATTAAAATATGGAAATAAAGTGCTAATCAAAAAATAATTACTGTTTTTCAGCAGACAGATGTTCATAATTTTATATGAGAGAAAATGTCACAAGTGTTTTTTTTTCTCCTTTCCAATTTCGATAATATTTGTTTCAATAGCGTTAAGTTTAATTACTGAGTTGGAGCACCACAAAAACTACATCTAGAAAATGAGTGACAATGGTTAGTATCGGATAACACCTCTTTAAGAGGTTATTGAACCTCTGAAGAATTCGTCGAAAGTTTTCCTGTATATCTTCTAAAGCCATTTTGCAATTTGATTCAAACGATTTTACGTGTAGCCCAAAGATGATAATACATTCAATAAATTAGTTAATCGATAAGTCAAAATGATATGTCGATAGCTACTATGTTTCCTTTCATTTGGAATGTTAATGGCATTGATGGTTTTCCAAACATGTGGAATACAACTGATATTGAGGTTTATATTGTTGTTATTGTTAGTTAGTTTTCGTTCTCTTATTTTATTCATTTTTATGCTTTCTTATTTATTTCTGAACCTATTAATTATCGTTAAGCCCTAATTAACCCGTAAAAATGTAGATCCAACATTAAACAAGTACCCTGCACGAGTCAAGACATCTAAATTGGAGAAAGAAAGTGGTCATTAGAAACCAGAGTTAAGAAGTGCTTATATTTATGACCTATTACGATTAATAAGTCAACTAAAATAGAACAATCAGCACAAACTGTACATAATGTAGGGGGAACAACATCAAAATTTGATATACTAGTAAATTCTGGAAAACGAGAAAAATAAGAGAAGACTTAATCACACAGATAAATCGAATAAACACCGAGGAACAGAGCCTAATCTCCTATCAGGATTAGCGTGGACTGCGTTACGTTGCCAAAAATTGATGCTCGCACATTGTAGTCGTGATTGCGTTATAAGAGTGACGGTCATATTTCGCTATTAAATCATTAC